TTATGTAATCATACATAATAAATAAATAATAATTTTACTTCACATTGGATTCAATGAGAAATGGTAAATATTGCTTCTGCTGTGATGTGTACTACTGATATTGACAGATATAAGTAGTATATACCATCAATTAAAAGTGAAATATCTGGCGGAATAATGTTAAGATAATCAAAGAGAAGAGAATGAGAACGAAGCATAATTGATGTGAAAATCAAAGAATAATCAAGTCTCTAATCTTAAACATCATTAGAATTGGAAATGGAAACAATGAGAAAATTACATGTTGTTCTAGTTTATTATTTGATTATATTAATTAAACAAATATGAATGAACAATAGTTATAAATAAAACAATGAAATATTAAATTTAATAAAACAAAGTCATTCATTATGAAATACATTTCTATGTCTGATTTCTTTACCTAGAATTGAACAATCAAGTAACTTAGGTAAATGATTTATAACATAAGGGGTTGAGAGGGGATTTAATAAGTCGTTATGTCTTGCCTGCTTAGAAATGATTACGTCACCCCTATAAGATAATTAACAACCAATATAGTCTAATAGGAAGAAACAAAATAATACTTCTATTATTTGTGTAAAGTGTAATTTCTTTTTAAGAGTGCATCTTTTCACCTTTATGTTTTTCTCTATACATGGCTAAATCAACCGTATAATTGTTTAGAGTGTTTTGTACTTGTCAAGTAAATAATGACTTTATATGGTGAAGATTTGTAGCTCAGATGAATGATTTTGGTAAAGTTTTATTCTCTGAGTTGGATAGTTTTGTTGTGGAGCTTTCATCGTTATTCTGATGACAATGATGTCATTCAGAAAAACGACGAAAGCTCTACAACGAAACGATTCAGCTGAGAGAACAAAACTCCATCAAAATAATCACTTATTCTATTCCCTTGTGAATAGTTGTTTTAATAATGTTAATTAAACTTATCAGTAGATCACTCAATTCAACTATGAATTCTGTAAATTATTCAGTATCAATAAAATTGTTGATTATAATTATTAGGAATAACACATTGTGACAACAGAACCAATACTAATAAACTGTGAAAATCTAACTCAATTGAAATCTAATGAGAGATATTATTTTCCACAAAATTTGGAAGGAATATTTTTGGGTAATAACATTTCATTGTCTATACCGATTATAGTTGTCATGATTAGACTGCTTTGCAAACTATTCCACTCATTTTTATAAAGACAACTCATTATTGTTATCTCATAAAAGATGTATCTACACTAGACACTGAGTCAAGTAATTCGACATGATTTACACAATATTATGCAAAATAATGTAAAGTTTTTATTTAATTTTAGTCTCTTCTGTTTTTAAAATTTGAAAAATGTATGATAAAATGGGAACGTATTGATGGGGTGGATTAGGGTTTTATCTCGCAAATTAATTTTGTTTATTGTGATTACTTAGTTACACATACTTGATGAATACCTCACGGTTCAAGCAAGTTATTCATTGAGGTAATCAAACTTACTGATTACAAGGAGAAAAACAAGGGTCCCTTAGAACATCTTAGTAACTTTTTATTAACGGAAAGTATATGAATAGAGTATCACATTTTTTATTATCAATTAATAAGTAAAACTCATGCATAAGGTCTGAAAAATGCATTCAGTTGTGATTATTTGATAATTCCACCATTCTTTTAGAATATAAAGTATCAGTTAGCCTTTGTTATTTGCTTAATCATTGATGTAATTTTGTTGTTTGACAACTAAGTCAATTTTCCGTGAAAATAATGAAAACAACTAAAAAACAAAATTGAACATGATGGCTCAGCTCTTGATTTTTATGAGACTAGATAGAAATTTACAAGCGCTCTTAAAAAAAAATGACACTTAAAAATTTCTTTGCAACGCTATTCGACATATTCCATATTTTAGGGGGATTTTGGTTAGAAATGTATGTGAGTTAAGTCGAAGATCACATATCAAGTTCGATGTTATTTTCGTAAAAACATAAACTCTGTAATTACGCTTTATACACTAAAATATATATGTTAAACTATTTTCCTGTTTTGTAAATAAAATAAAACAATATTAAACCTTATTTGAATTTAATTAGAGGGTTAGTTTTTACATACACTCTATGTTAATTAGCATTTTTCGACAGCAGATTTCTTTTATTGATAAAGTATTAGCAGTTTAAAAATCCCCATAGAATATTCAAAAATGAAGAATATTTGAGCGAACAATTGTTTTCAATAACTTCATCATCAGGCTCTACAGTTATAAGTCCATAATTATAATATTTTACAAAGGCCAAAAATAAGGCATGTTTTAATGAGTTTGACAATGTTATGTGTTAAAAATGGTAAACGTTTGCATCTGTTACGATATATATATACTTCAAAAATTGTAATATTTGCAAATTAGAATGGTCATTCAATAAAGATCAGTAAACTGTTCAGTCACAATAAGATAATGTAATAGTACTATTGCAAAATTGAAAATAATTTTGTCAACTGAGATAATAATAATAATATTGTTGTGTAAATATAATATGTAATAAGGGGGGTGTTATCAAGGTAAATACGGTCAACAAATTAGGAATGATGGATATGAAGATTAAGATATAGATAATGACAAATAATGATAATTAGGAAAATAAATAAATAACTGTAGAGCCTGATGATGAAGTTATTGAAAACAATTGTTTGCTCAAATATTCTTCATTTTTGGATAAAGTATTAATTTGCTGAAGAACAACATATGTGTTTTGTTCGATATCACTTCTTGTAATGATGTTTTTATCTCTAAAGGATATCAGTCGTTCCCTGTAAATTATGTTTTGGTTATTCTATAAAAGATTCCATCACTTCGGATTTGTAGGACAGACAGAAGCAATATTATAGTTTTATAGAAAAGCTTTTTCACCTTGTACTTCGTTTCAAGTAAATAATAATGGCTTTGAAAAACTGAATTAAAATTTTTCTTTTGAAGAAAATGAACTAAATTTGGAAGTTGATTGGTCGTATTTTTCTTATGAAAAAACGTGAATATTAGTTAATCTACTTAAGTTTAGCTTGAACTCAGTCTCAATATTCAGTAGAAATCACGAACCGGCAATTTATTTTTAGTGACCTCCTCTTCAGTGCAGCTACTTAGTGTACAAAGGTTTCATTCACAGTGCAATAATTGCTCAAAATAAATCACCTTATCAGATACCTACTAACAACTAAACTGAAAACTTCTGTGTATAAGTATATCACATAACACACCTCTTAGGTGCCAAAGAAACTTGGAGAGTGCATAACAAATTCTTGGTTAATACACACTAGAAACCAATGTTTGGATTCATTTTTATAAATAATAAATGACTGTTTAGGGTGGTTGTGAAATCACTTTATACATATGATTTCAATGAAATTCAGTAGCCTCTAGAACCCCCTACTGAAAACGCGCGTCATTGGAAAATTAGTGAAGAGTAACATTTATTTAGTCCCATTCAAAAATATAAGCCTTGGTTAAATCAACCTTGAAGGGAAAACTATGTTCACTCATAGTCCCTGTTATGGAATGACTTGAGCAAATAATATTATTTTGTTGTAAAATCTGCTTTGCAAACTTTACGGTACCTAACATAGCGTTTATTATGACATGATAGGATTTGTTGCCATCCGGAAAATAATCGCCGAGGAAATATACACTGATTTTTAAGTAATTCGTCGAAGTAAAATGAGCACAAGCAAACACTGTCATCTTTAATCTAAATATTATGATTGTGACATCTGCGAGACCAGATGGAACGCGTCCTAGATTACTAAAGATGCCCAAAAACCTTATCATAGATTCATCAAGTATATGTTTTAAACTATCTACAACCCAAAGTAGATTACTAAGCAACTGAAACAAAACCGTAGTTGCTCTTATCTTCAAAATAGGCACGAAACATAAACTTAAAATGTACCGTCGCGTAGGCCTAACCCGTCTGTCCATTAGACTTCTAGAAAAATTGTTTGCAACGAGTAGTTTGAGTATTTAAACAAAACCTGACTCCTTAAAAAAAGCAACACGGATTTGAGAAACAAGTATTCCACGTCTCATAAACTTATTAGTAGCTTGGAAGTCAGTGTTCTCTCAATGACAAAAAGCTACCAATAGTTTTCACATACGTCGACTCCCGTAAGTCTTTACGCAAAGCTCTGTATAACTCACTGTTTTCTTAGTTGATTGGTATCGTAATTGGATGTGATTTACTTATGTGGATGAACGATAACATATTTAAAGATCAAAAAACCTTAGGCATTAAATCTAAGTCGTTTTGTCAGAAACCTTTGCTAAGCGAAGCGTCTCAGGATACAGTTTTGATACCAGTATTACTCTTCATGTGTGTAAATAACTTTCTGATAATACGAGTAAACTGACCACGATTTCGTAGCAAGACTAACATTGTATCAAATTTTCGCTTACTTTTATTACTCTTTCGTAAGATTAAATTATAGGGACACACAAATTTTCGTAAACCTAGAAGCGATTACCTTCATGCTTTCTACTGAATTTCTTATGGAATCACCAACCTACGGGAGTTCATACCCCAACACGTCATTGAAGCTCTATCTGTCGAGACATTTAGCAAAAAGTTTGATCAGCTATAAAACTACTGTTTCCTGCACCAATACAAAACCAGAAGACTAATTTTGTGCGAAAAATAAACGTTGCAAAAGCTGAAACATCAAATTCTTCCAGTGTGTACATTTCCGTCTCAAATATTATCTCATGGAAAACCTCTCAATAAATATTTGCTTTGCTAACATGCGGCAGCCCATCAAGCATTCAGACACCCCAAGTTACACTCTATTTTGTGAAAACTTCAGCCTACTCGTAAAATGTTAGCTGAATTCATTGACGACAAAATAGTATTTTTGTGACAAACATGCATAAACTAGATGATTCCTTCTTTAAAATGCGAAAAACACTTTTAACAGACGTTTTACATCCAATACAAAAAACAATTAGACTTACCGATGGGATCAACATGGTCGAAATGATCAACGAAAGTTCTTCGATCCAAAAACAGTGACAACTAATCTAACATTATTCAGCACATAGCAAATTTACCTTTCCGTCAGGAGTCGCCTTCTTTAAAACACTGAGTAATTTTAAAATAAGTTAATCAAATCTTACTCGAAGCTCCGTCCTTCCGTCCCTTTAGACATAATTTTGGTTGTGGCACGATAACAGAGTCATTGTCAAAACTTTTAACTATGTTCATAAAAGTCAAGGTCGAATGCCCGTTCGTTTAGCGATTACAACAACACACATTAACTTCTTATGTCCAAAATCCTGTGAACCAGTCCTCAATAATTAAACAGAATAAAAAGTTTTCTTTAAATAATTTTAGCATTTCATGATTTTTACTGAACGCGGACCTTTACTTGTAACAATATTATATTTGCGGTAAATAATACTCTAAACTAAATAGTTCTGAAAGTCTTCGACTTGGTGCTGATATCATCGGTTTTACTAGACACATCCCAGGTGCATCAGCGTCAGATTACAGTTGAACACACCATGCTACTCATTTCTTGCAACTAGCATCCAGCTTAGACCAAACGATCCTTAACATATCGACAGCCTTCCAAATATATTTCCCAACTCACTCATTCCTGACTTTTAATTTGACCAGGTTGGTATCGTTCGATTACAAGTATGTTGTGGACAAGGGGGTGGTTGATTCCTGAATATCTGTCGGATTATTAAACCTGCAATCCCTGATATTATCGAGCATATTGGCTTACTTCAAATACTCGAAGTGTCCCTAAAATAAATAAGACATCCACAGATCTAGTTATTTAAATAAATTTCTTGAACCATAATAAGAAATTAACTTGAATCATCTTGTCCAGGAAGATGATATGATCGACCAAAAGTTGTCATAAACGACCCTCAGACTTCCAGTAGAAGAAAACTACGCAAACAAATAGGGGTATATGATCCAGTATTGTGACGCAATGTAGCATTTGTGCTAATTGATGATTCCTTTGTGCCTGCTTGTGCGCTGATACGGATTTCGAGTATTATACGCCCTGTTTTGTACGTCTAGTTCAGCCTGCCCCAAATGGCTCTGTTTTAAGAATTTTCGGTTACCAAATCTGTTCGAATACTTCGAATGATCATAGGCGACTAGATATATAAAAAACCTCAGGGGGTAATTCTACGCATCAATGGTTCATTTTGGCTATGCTCATTTCAATCTAGTATACTTGAACTGAAATTAAATTTTCATTAAGCCTGAATAATCTTGCATCGTAGTGGGAGGATTGGGTTCTACTCCTGATGCACTGTAGTCGTAATACATTGAAAGTTACTTATGGGTGTGTAGCAGCTTAAGGTGGGTGGTTAAAAGTCAGCTGAATTCCTTCAATTAAGATTGAAACATATTAATTGATTATTTACGTAACATTTTATTATGAGTTGGAACAATAATCCCGACTATGTAATATTGAATGTTGAAAGGCATTTCTATTTAAATTGGGACCTCACTCTCCGGTCCTTCTATGGGCGTGTGACACTGCAAGCACACTACATGTGAACTCATATGTGACACACGCTTGGTGCTCATAGGACGTTTGAAGCCCTTATCTATTATCTACTAAAACAATCACTGGCGGCCTGCTTGAATATCTGGGCTACCTGTTCCTCCGATCTATATATTTCATCAAGTTATCTGTTTTGTTGTTCGTTTTAACCTATCATTATGTCTATTGTGCACACAATCTATTCAGGAGCGTTTATGAAAAGTTTACAACCTTTCGCTATACGTGATACAAAAAGGTACAATCATCGATATCATGGTGGCTGGCAATATGCATTGGAACGAACAAACATTTATCAAATGTGGATTACCGAACTCCTAACATCTAACCGGTCATCATTCAAAATTTATCGTCACAATAGATCAAGGTATAAGAAAAGGAAACTTGTTGAAATACTTTATGCTGAGAATTCTATGTTGTAACAAAAATATAATGTCGAATAAAGCTTCTAATAATATAATATAATAATATGTAATATAATATTATTTCTGTCTATCACTATTAACCAACGATTTCGAGCAAACTGTTTTCTAGTAAAATACAGTTTTAATGGGCCAGGTCAATCATTCTTACTCATTGTATCCAGGAAACAAAAAAATAATATTTAAACGTTATAAGGTCTACAAAACTCAACATCAAATAAAAATCACACTGAATTTCATCTGTGGTCAGGATGATTCTTAAAAGCCAACGGTTTAAGTGTTATCGAACATCAAGATATGAGTACAGGCATCTGACTAATCGAAATGCTTGAACTTCCCACAATCGTATCGTCATCCCTCAGAGCTGGACCGTTATGTTCCAAACGAGGCTTATGCATTCAATATCCAACAATAGCATCGGCTGCCGCAAAACCTAAGTGGTTGCAAACACCACCGTTTATTATATCCCGGTTTCCTCATCCATTATGCCTTACAACGACTGTTCCCGCACTTGATGTCTGCAAACTACAGAAGCCAAGAAAAGTCAACCGAGGTTCACTGGTTCAGTCACCGCAAAAGACACAGACAGAACAGTTATGTCTGATGTTTTGCTTTTTTTCAGGGAATAAATCTTGTGAGGACTGATTATGTTATCTAGATCTGTTCCTGCCGGGCTCTAAGTTGGATATAAACTGGCTTAATAATGATCAAAAAAATCGATCTCGTGCTGCCCCCTGATTTATTTTAATAGAACCCCAACTACTGCGTTTAGCGAGGTTTTTCTCAAGCGATCTCACATTGAAGACCAAGTACGTGAGCAAGGATGATTTGATTGGCTATTCTGCTGCTTGCGTTAAGTCTCTTTACGTACAACAGTGTATCATTTTTACAACAGTGGTTTTCAAACAGATAGGAAATTGCGAAATGTGATGTATCACAAAGGCAGAATAAGGATAGGGGTTTTTAGACCTCCCTTGGATGATTTATCGTGTAACGACGTGACTTTTGGGGTCTTGGAACCAGAACAGATTTCACTTTCAACTGTCTGTGTTTTGTTTATCATTCCGAAATGTGTGGGTAAATCGTCCTCTTCGTCGATTACTAGGCTCATTCATTGATGTCGAGAATCGAAAATCGAAGACTGATCACCAAACATTTGACTAAGAGAAGTGATGGTGTTTGTAGAGGTATTTTTCACGTGTATTTTAGAGAGATGTTGCAATATCTGTCGAATTATGTGGCGCCGAATTTTCATAAAAAAAATACGTGCTTTACAAGAGTCTTCTTGGTCTCCGGAATCAACATCAAACGTGTCTCGTGACGGCAAAACCAGGTGTCAGATATTACGTTTGAATATGGGTCATAACTGCACTCAGCAATCTGATTGATGTCATTATCGAGTTTGAATTCAGATATGGAGGTTTTTGGTTTTGAAATCTTAGTAATTTAAGTACTGGATGAAAACTCAATCAGTTTGAACTATTGTTCCATTAGACGTTCACCCTTACCACTAACACATCTAAAAGCCATACCCGTCGCCAGTTGTTGTGTTTTGTTATTGGGGTTCAGTACGGCTGACTTTGTTACAAATCTAGGACTGACAACAACTGAGCTATTCCAATACAACCGGTTTTCTTCGAAACTGACAACAATCAATTATGCTCATCACATCACACCTAGACGGCTATCTCAGGAAGAAGACGGAACTGGAGATAACTTCATATGTGATAGGACGGTCAAATCAAACTTAATTGGCACGAAAGTTGTTGTTATGGCAGCGGAATATGACCTTCAGGCATGTATCATTTTAGCGAAATACAAAGTGTGACAAACAATCAGAGGGAAACGGTTATGCGGGAACCCAAGTTAGTAGAAAGCAATAATTATATATTTCTGCACTGGCGGGTACACGCCATGTTTACAGGCATGGTCTATGCATGCATGTTAAAAAATATAGTCCATAAAAGTGAATATTAGTTTGTTCATCCAGGTATACTGAGTAATCTTCAAATTACTCTCTAAAGTGGCATCGCGTCCACGTTAAACACGAGATCCAATCTCGACATAATTGCGTTAGGATTTTGGCCGTGCTAAGTATTTATGCAATGTAACATCTTATAGTTGTTATAAGGTAGACTTGTAGAGCGCTCGGTGTGAACTATGACCTAAGGACAACTCGTACGTCTAGTTCGTTACAGATGTCGGAAGTTCCATAACTGTTCCCTTGGGGCATGATTCTGAAAGTAAAAAGATAAACCGAGGAGCGGCAAGGCACTTGGATACGAACGATAAACAATACTTAACATTTTGTAGTGGAACAGACAAAGGTATGAGAAGTTATCAGATTAAATTCATACTAGCTCTTGTAGCTAAAGTGAAATGTTATCAGAGGCTCTAGATGAGAGTGTAAAGTAATAAAAAACAATGACTTATGATATTTATCAAGGTGGAGTAAGTTCAAATGAAGGAACAGGAATTAATGTTGGAATAAGGAAGGCTGTTTATTAGAACAGAAAGTGCATATAGAGAGTAAAGTGTTAAGAAAACTAATAAACGTGTCTTTTGTTGCCTGATATTTTTCATCCGATGCCCTCCACACAGTCTTAATATAAAAGTCTTAGTTAGCATGCTATAGGTTGTCTTACTAGGATGGCTAATCCAGCATAAAATTGGGAACATGAGTCTGGACGGTGAGCGTAGGAGAAAAACCTTAATATCACATATTGATTGGCTTGTTCTGAAAAATAAATAGCCTGATACAAACAAAATGTTCTTCTCCACAAACATGGGTGGATTGAAGTCATTGCTTTCACCATAAATGCTTGCTGGTCAGTGACTCCAACCTCCCTCCTTTTGTGATGTTAGGCTCATTTGAACCTATTTGTTGGATATATATCATACCTCACACAATGCTCTATGTTTCACATCCAGTTGAAAAACAATATTTCTATAAGTACCATTTTACAAGTGTATCAGGCAGTTACAAATTATGGACTGTGAGTAAGTCATCGATACAGTGCTTTAATTGACTATAGAATAAAGTATATGTTGCCAAACAGAGTATGGGCTATAAGAAGGGTATACTGTGGGATACATTTTTACCAAAGTAGTCGGAAAAGTACAGGAATATATGGGTTATAGATAAGGTAGTGGTGAAATAATATTAAGGACAAGTCAATATAGTGTACTCGAGAGTAAAATGCTGATAAAGAATAAACAAGAAGGAACTCACATTAACATGTTGTTGGTCTTATTTTGTTCTATCCTAACTGGTTG